ATTTTGTAATGATATCTTTAATTCTCTAATTTTGGTGAATATTTTTGTCATTTTTGGTAAAAAGTGATATTTTCGACTTCTTGTTGAAAACCGCAAGTCCAATTGCTTTGATATTACATATATAGGTACTACATGTGGACCTCTCTCAGATTTGTTTATTTTGTAATGATATCTTCAATTCTCTAATTTTGGTGAATATTTTTGTAATTTTTGGTAAAAAGTTTTTTTTTCGACTTCTTGTTGAAAACCGCAAGTCCAACTGCTTTGATATTACATATATAGGTACTACATGTGGACCTCTCTCGGATTTGTTCATTTCATGATGATATCTTCTGTTCTTTAATTGCCATGTGCATTGCTAACAGCGGAGCTATCTCAGCCGACAGGCTGCTTGTTCAAATATAGAAGTCCGTTGAATTGGCCAGAAGCAGAGGAAGTGTGTAATGAGCATGTTTCAGGTGGCAACCTCATTAGCATAAAGAACTTGCAGGAAATGACGTTTATTCACTATATGACGACATCGGATTGGTATACGAACAATTCGGACACATATATAGGTACATATAATAATAATAATAATAATAATAATAATAATAATAATAATAATAATAATAATAATAATAATAATAATAATAACAATAACAATAATAACAATAACAATAACAATAACAACAATAATAACAATAATAATAATAATAATAATAATTAATAATAATAATATTTCTTGGTATAGTTTGTGTTATAATAGACTATTTGCTTTAGTGTGTCAACCTTCTTCTAAAGTGTGCATACCATTTCCTTTTCTTGCAACATATCTTATTTATATATTATTCAAATATATACTCTGTTTTCAATTTCGCATATACATGAATAAACATAAACACCGAGCATGATGTATATATGACTCATATACGTACCTCGGTGATATATTGATGTTATCAAATGTTTTTATCTAGGGCAGAAATAGAGATGGCACTTTTATATGGACTGATGGTAGCCCATTGAGCTACTCAGACTGGTAGGAGATATAGCCCAATGATTAATTCAATACATGTTGATATTACTCCGGGTGTCATGCATTTTATAATATATACCAATTAACTAACCAACTATATATTGTATATTATTTAGGAAATCTTCATCCAGTGTTAATGGTGTGAGTGAGCCATCTGGAGGCGTGTATGAGTCTTGTTCTATCATTAGACTGGAGAGTATACCTTCAACAGATAACTGGCATGATGTACCGTGTGGAACAGATCTCGTATATCAGCATATATGTAAAGCACCCATAGCTGGTATGTATATAAACCAAAGTAAACGTTGATGGTGTACAAAGAGCAGAATAAGCATGTCTGTAATTTACAAATGGACTGTATTGACGGTTCTGATGAGGACCCTTATCTATGTGAGAATGGTATGCAATGTACATTGGCTTATGTTTTTGATTTTGTGTTAGAAAGCGTGGTAGTGAAAACAATGAGTTAGTCTAGTTTGAATTCAAGACTGGTTATCCCTAACCATTTGTTATACATTGCAATCGATTAATGCCAACATTTTCTAGGTGTATCCATTGTTGAATATTATCCCTTCTCAAGGCATTGGAACAAGTGAAATGTTGATAATAAACCAACCAATAAACCAACACCTGCAAATGTTTACCTTCGTTCAATGTAACATTCAAAATACATATTGAATTCGTAGTTATTAGAATGCTTTGTAAAAATGTGCTGCGTGTCTCGAATTGCGCCACGAGGAATTTTAAGCCTGTCTCAATTAGATATGACGTCAATCACGTAACTTTTAAACTTTCGGGGTCGACACACTTAGTAATATTCAAACACTGTAACCCAATTATGCACGACGTCTGTTATGTTTCACTATTACTATTAACTGTTTTATGTTTCCCATCATTCAATGCGCGAAAATGGGAAATAGATTGGAAACAATCAAGTCAACGCCTTGAATAATTGACGTTAAATATGATAATACACATGGAATGTTTCTTGGGCGTGATCACTAATTGCAAGTCACGTGGAAACATATATGTTGCCACCGTTTAAAATATAATATAAGGTGATATATTATGCCTGCAAATCAACCCTTATCTGGGCAAGTCAATGACAAAGTACATAGTACTGACTGTTAGGAGGACACTAGTATTTTATATTAAAGTTATAATGATATATAACGTCACCCAGAAACATGTAGTCATCAGCGCCTTCCCGAAAAAATTGCAAATTACAAATTGTAATGAAATATAAAATCAAGTACGAGCATTCTGAAATTGAGATCACAGATAGCACTTTATCACTAAACACATTTCCGCATCACGACTGTTTTAAATATGTACAACCTCCACATGGTTTCCGGCATCTATGCAAAGTGTCAAAGTAGATCTACACCCGGGAATACCTTATATAACGTCCTCTTTGTTTACCATGTCTCATGTTTCAACTGACAGCGTGCGATGGATTCCGTTATTATGACAACAAATGCCTTCCATCATTTGCTGAATGTGACGGTATGGTTGACTGTCAAGGAGCTCATCACGAAGATGAACATTCATTATGTGATGAGTGTTTGTCTAATAAAGAACGCTTAATTAACAGTTAATTTTATTTTGCATCACTACGCCAGATTTTGTGAAAGTGTCACATTGATATACTAATATATCGAGGGATATATAAAGTCATTCAATGTTGCTACACATTACACTAACGATACGAAACACAATGAATATCCAAGTTTTCTGCCATTGTTCATGTACTCTGTTGCCTCACAAGTGTGTTATGGCGGGGTATTTTGATAACGAATATTTAAAAATATATGAGAATGGTTGAAATATCCAGAATATAGGCATGTAGTGAATATCATGACTGTATTCCCGTGGGTAAAACAATTCCCTGTGCATATTTATAATATTGATGCCAGTATCATATATATTTCTAACCCCACTATCATTCAAAGAAATATTGTTATAATCGACAATAGATTACCACGACAAGGAATGTAATGAAAACCATCTGTGATGCAACAACGGTGCATGTGCAGCAGACATTAGGCTCTGTGTGTTTGACTATAGTATAATCAATGGCAGAGACTATCATCTCGGCTGCCGTGATGTCACGCACCTGCGTTTTTGTGGTAAGAAACGTTTTCAATTACAAGCAGATTATATATATAGTCTTTTTCTAATGCATTGCTGTTTTGAATATGTCGCATCTATTTCTATAAATGAAAATCTATCAAACTTCAAACGTCTCAGTCATGCGTACCTCTAATTACAGATGATTTCATGTGCCCTTTTGGAACTTTGAAATGCCCCAACTCATATTGTATACCAATCAATAGAAAATGTGACGGATCACGTGACTGCCCAAATGGAAAAGACGAAATTGACTGGTAAGTTTAAAGCTATTATAGCTTACTTTCAGAGAAAAAATAATGTTTTTGGTCACCGCGCGAAAGTTAAAACTATTCGCGTCACAGGTTTTTTTGCTCAAATAGAAGAACAAAATGATTGACAATATCAAAAAATCAGCACGTGCATAATATTAACCAAACCAATCAGTGAGCGGTTAAATAAATTAACTAATTAAACATCCGTTATTGTGGGACGTAGAACTCGCATCAGCTTCAAACCCAACACTTTCTCCTGTCCAGTTTAACTAACTTCTTCCTATTTATCTGTCTTTGTAGATACATACCACTGTCCAGGTGCATATAGATGTATTGGGGAATCCCAGTGTGTATCGATGGATCAAAGATGTGATGGGATCAAACAATGTCAAGCTGGGGACGATGAAATGCTATGTGGTAAGCGTCCACGCGTCATCGTCACGTGTCATCGGATCATCTCTTCAATCACCCCTTTATATTTAAGATTAATTTATGTATGATTGTATTATATACATACATAGTTATTATTTTTACCGAATAACCTGCGTAATAAATTGAATGTCAGTGCAGTTGTTTTGTTCACGCATTTTCCATTTGTGAGGTCGTAACCTACAAATCACACACCTGAATTGCTCTTTCACTTTGTAGACATTGTATGCCCCGATGGATGTAGTTGCCATGGTTATCGTTTCAGTTGTTTAAAGAGGAACTGGGTCGATCTACCTGATAACATGCCAACATCTGTCAGAAGACTGTAAGATACATTTATAAATTGTTTAATGTGTGATGTTAAAATTTACTGTGTGTACAAATGGTGTATTAGAATAATTAACTTTTTTCAGAGTATACTTCACATTGATATATTTCAAATAATTAAATATATATTGGTTGGAATATACAATTACATTTCTATCATATTTACTAGTGACCTGAGTGGAACAGATATCCAAGTGGAAAATCGAAATACGAGATTCAATATATCCAATGAAACATTTACCTGTATGACATTTCTTGCAAACTTGTAAGGACAAAGTTTGACAGCAACATGAATACCTTGTTTAGACAAATACCAAATGCTAGATATATTGTTGTATCTTTGGCAAGCAATCCAATTACGTACACATTACATTGGTTTAAAATAACAAATTATGCCACACTTTATTCACCAGAACAGTTAGTAGTGATTATTACGGTGTATAACTGATTCCATTATTTTTCACTTAATACAGGAACCTATCACACAATTGGATATCCATCATTCCCAAATGGTCTTTCCGACAACTGCAAAACCTGCTGTACTTGTGCGTATATTTTAAATGTATCTTATATTTTTAGAGTGCCATTTGATGTAACAGGAAGCATGAATAATTCATACTATCGCAGTATTCTCTAATTACCTTATTGTAAATGTGGAATATTAAATCTTCAGTTATTCTGTTGTGTATTCAGGGATTTGAGATACACTAACTAGAGAAATCTTTCTAGAACTTCGCCAACTTACCCATCTGTGAGTATAATTTACTGCAAAGAATAACTCAACCAATAAAATTGATGGCTTGACATTTAGTGAAATAGATGAACAAGTAATGAGCTTTTATTATATAATCAGTGTAATTACCTTACATAGATGATGCAACTACCAATATATTTTACGCAAATCTATGTCCTGGTGTTAATTACTGAAGGATATTGGGGGTGTGCCACTCAAATACATGTACATGATTAGTAATGTAATCATTAGGCACAATGTCATATTTTGGATTACGGAATTTTCAGTTTAAATATTAGTATATTATGGCTACCAAAATTTGTGGATTTTGATTTCCTTTCCTGTATACCTGGGAACAGCGAACGATGCGAAATGTCGTCACTATAATAATAATAATAAAATACTAATTAATGCCGAGTTGTAATTCAGGTGAAAATGGCAACTCGTGTTAGATGATGTGAATAAAAAAAAACACATTTGATTGAGTGAGTTCTCAACTCTTAGAGGGTCATGTATTCCCATTGCATTTAGGAGTTAATGAATCGAAGGAAGACTGGATGCCGTATGAATGGATCAGGAAATTGTATTACAAAGTGGAAATGTAACTTTAACATATTCATCGAACAAGTTATTTACAACTAATTAGGACTAAACGTTGAACTAAAGTACTCTACTTATTTGACGTAATTTACATGGATCTGTTACATTTCATGTAATTACAATCAGGGGTTTTCTCGTTAAAGTTTGTTTTATCCTAAAGGTCGACACGTTGCCATGGTTACAAAGTAAAATCCCAATCAGCAAATTGCAACTTACAAAATCTGTTGCTGCATGAACAAAAGGGTCTGATTCTCGATTATTTCTTAGTTTTTGATATGATTGGTCGATGAAAAAGAAAAAAAAAATAATATTCACATGTCAAATGGAGATGCTAACAAATTCATAGTCAAATCAGTAATTTCAGTTGTATTAAAAAGGCGATCACGTCGTGTGTGGTTTACATCGTAATAGTAACATTGATACCGGATGATATATGTACATAAGCGTGCGATATCAGTCTTCTATCATTTTCAATGTGTAGGTGAATCTGTAGAAAAAATCAACTTGACTTAATAGTTTTAAAAGGCACGACTTCGCCGCTGTACTATATATGTAGAGGAGATCAAATATCCCTTATATAGATGGGAGTAACATAGTAATATGAAAATGGAGAAAAGTTACGTAACATTCATATAGTCGTTTTTGTCATCAAGTTGTAGACGTTCGGTCATTTTAGTCATGTGCAAATTCAATTTCGTCATTTATTAAGCTGATAAGCCATTATAGGACAGCGATCAATTGTGACCTACGGCTGTACAACACTACAATACCAAATTGCAAAATGTTTTATTATTTTATTATGATTAGTTGTGTCCACTCCATTCAAAACATATGACATCACATCTGGCCTGTATGAGATTCATATTGTAGTATGTTCTTGGTTTTGTGAAAACAAATTACAGATACCAATTTAACATGTATATCATATTCAAATCGTCATATTACACCTCGCAATTATAATCTGTATGTAAAATCGCAGTGATTTTGGCCTCGTGACTCGAATACGATATTTGTTTGTCTATTACATATATTTCATTTCATGTTTTCCAAAATCCCATCTATTTGATCAACGATGATGCATTTCTAGGGCTACATAAACTACCTCATCTATGAGTATGGCACCGTCACGTGATCTGGTGGTTATCTTAATTTATTTTAATGAGAAGTTTGTCAACTTATAACTAGCTCAGTGCAATAACAAATGACTTACTGCATAGACCTTAATTAATATATGACCGGAACCTGAACTAAGCTGAGTTACGTTCTAATGAATACATTATAATAAATTTGTAATAAAATTTGTAATTACCTTAAAATCAGCCTCAAGACTTCATTGCCAGATTCATTGTCATAGTTATTAATTTCTTGAGACATTAGCAATAATTCTGCGTCTCATTTCTTTAACAATAACTCACGAAACTTTCATTTTGTGTGATTAGTTGATTATTATTACTGAACAAGATTAGGTATATACAAGCGTTACAATTCATGTAAGACACTCAAAATGCAAGATATTTTGCACATTAGGCAATAAAGGGGAATTATTGGGCCCGTCATTATTTTATTGGATGGCTACCCAGATTTCATCAAAGGAAATATATTCCTATCCTTTCCTAGGGTATGAATGACGATTACTTCAATTTATTCCATTCTTTTATAGTGA